CTCCAGAGATGTGTTGAATATCTGAAGTAAACTGCGAAATGTAGTCCAGTTGTCGAGACTCACGGGGAGAGTACTTGTCAGAAGGAGAGCTTAACGAGAAAGTGAGCGGTTTATGGTCCGTGAAAAGAGTGAATTCACGGCCTTCGATATAGTGTTGGAAATGCCGTACAGCACAATACATAGCTAGGAGTTCCCTACCGAATGTGCTGTACCTCGATTCGGTGTCTAGCAACCTTCTAGAGAAAAATGCCAAGGGTTGCCAGGAGTTGTTAACCCATTGTTGTAAGACTCCTCCGATTGCTGAGTCGGATGCGTCTACTGCGATGCTAATGGGTGCTCGGGTGTCCTGATGTGCGAGCATTGTTGCTTTAGCAATCAGTTCCTTGACTGTGGAGAATGCTTTTCGTGCGGTGTCGTCCAAATTAATGGATTTCGCATTTCCACGAAGTTGGTCGGTCAGAGGTTTCATAAGTGATGCGCATCTGGGTATGAAACGTCTATAGAAACTTACCAGGCCGTTGAACGTGCGTAATTGCTTGACGGTGGTCGGTTCTGGGTAATCCAGAATGGCCGCCACTTTGGTTCTAAGGGGTCGGATACCTTGAGCATCGATAGTGTGTCCCAGAAAGTCTAACGAGTCGGTTCCAAATTGGCATTTCTGAACGTTTACAGTTATGCCATGTTTTTGTAATCGTTCGAAAACAAGGTCCAGATGCTTGAGATGTGTTTCTCTGTCCGGACTTGCGATTAGACAGTCGTCAACATACGCGTGTACGAAGTTGAGACCTCGAAAAACGTCGTCTATGAATCTTTGGAATGTTTGAGCAGCATTCCTTAGACCGAAAGGCATTCGCAAAAATTCATAGAGTCCGAAGGGAGTTATGATAGCCGTTTTCGGTATGTCGTCAGTAGCCATAGGGATTTGGTTATACGCTTTAACCAAGTCGATTTTCGAAAAGACAGTTGTACCTTTCAAGGTAGCTGTCAAATCGTGAATGTGAGGCAACGGGTAACGATCGGGAATGGTTTTCGCGTTCAATCGCCGATAGTCACCAGTTGGACGCCAATCGTTGCTGTCCTTTTTAGGGACCATGTGCAACGGAGATGCATATGGGCTACTTGACGGTCGTATGATTCCTAAGTCCATCATGTGATCGAATTCGTTTTTCGCTAACCTTAGCTTTTCAGGAGCTAGTCGTCGTGCTTTAGAAAATACAGGTGGTCCTGTAGTCGTGATGTGATGTGTAACATTGCTGGTTACACACGGTAGTTTCGTTTGAGTTTGTTGTATCCCAGGGTACTTATCGAGTAGTGGTTGATAGAGTGGGTCTATCATATGTTTAACTGTGACTGGGGATACTCTACAACCAGTAAAAGAAGTTACGCAAACGGACAAATTAGTGTTTCCGTCTACTAGCCTCCGTTTGCGAGTGTCGATGATCAGATTGTGGTGTTGTAGAAGGTCCATACCAATGATTGGCATAGAAACATCTGCAACGACGAAAATCCAGTGGATGGGTTTGCGTAAACCCACGTTAAGGTAAACGTACCTTTTGCCATACGTAGCGATCGGTTTTCCGTTTGCCGCCTGTAAGTTTAGGGTCGATTCGTGAAGTCGGTCGTTAGGATTTGCTGGGAGAACGCTAACTTCTGCGCCAGTGTCGACGAGGTAGCGAACTCTCGTTGTCACATCTGTGACGAATAACAGACGGCTTTGTTCGCCGGCTACGGTTGCCGTTAACGCGTGCCGGCTTGGAAGTTTCCCGAATCAGTCGGTTTCGTGTTGGGAAAATTGCAGGGTTTTCTGCAATTTCTGGAAAACTTTCCATACTGGTTATGATACCAGCACCAGTCGGGGTTATCTGTCTCTCGTGGTCTAGAGACAGATCGCTTACGAGAAATGCTTCTACGTGGTGTGCGCGATCTCTTACGGTCGGTACGAAGACTAAGATAACGCGTGAGTGTGTGACATAAGTCGGTTATGTCATTCTGAGTCGTGTGAGGCTTTTCTTTGACTGAAAATACCTCGGTAGTAGAAGGTTTCGTAATTTCTAGAATGCGGTCGGCAGATACAGCTAGTTCGTCTAAGGCGTTGTTCTGGAACGAGACCAGAACTGCTTGCACCTGTTGGGGAAGTTTTGACAAGAAGAGTTGTTTGAATAGACCTTCGTCGAAAGTTCTTGGGCCTATAACCTCTCTCATCCGTTGCAACATGTCCGTCGCAGAACCGTGTTGCAGGTCGATATTGTTGAAGAGTTGATCTAACCTTTGTCGATCGGTTAGGTCTCCTCGTTTAAGAATCGAGCGTTTTAAGATTTCGTAAGGATCGGAAACATCACTAGTAAACATACTAGGTGTTACGTACCTGTTGAATTCCCGCGGCAGTGCCTTGACTACTGCGAGGAATTGTGCACGTGTGTCGATCACGCCGTGCTCGGAAAAGTCGGCTTCTGCGTAGCAAAACCAGGCTTCGATGTTGTCGGGCCAGAAAGGCATCAGTTGAAACGAAGGTGGGGACAAGGTCTTAAGCTTGAGTACTTTAGGTGTCTGTTCAGTCATGATGAAATATGAAGTACGATAATGAACGAGGGGAAAAAATATATATATATCCAAGAAAAACACGAAAAAAAATCACAATGTTTAAAAAAAATAAAAAATAAGGCAATGATATATAAAAATCCCAAAAAGGAACAGACTCACAGTTGCAATAAGGTGTACCAGATCACGACGGTCTCACCAATGATGATGTCACAGGTATTCAGTGTTTGACAACGCTTCTACCAGTAACACCTTCTAATATATTTCGTTCCCACCAAGAGAAATCAAAAGACAGAGTCGAGGAGATCGGAAGAGTATATTTGGCGATGACCAATATACCGGGATTCTCTGATCTAATCTGGCTAGCGATTGTGGTTGATGTTGAGCACGGCGTTACTACACGTGATCTGGTGCGGATGCCTGACCGAGCGCCTTCAGCTAGATGAGTCCACTAAAACATATGGTCAGCATCCAATGTCGAAAACTTACAGAGCTATTTATTTTAGGGATTTATTTACCGCTACAACCTCTTCTCTGAAATCCGATGTAAACCGACCGCATGTTAGCACCCTAACCTTAACCTAACCCTAAACCCTAACCCCCAAATGCCCTGGTATGGCCGAGAGTGGGGTGGGTCCGCCCTCCCTCTCGAAATACTCTCACACGGCCACGCGTATACACAGCCTCTGCCAGGGAAGTCCTACTCACCGCCTTCTCGTGGCGGGGGTGTTGTTTACAAAAATGAGAGGACGGAAAGCGAATGTCCGGCGCTTTAACCGGATTCCAAACTAGTGGTTTACATGGGCTCCAGTATCCTGCGGGAACAAATGGCGTATGAACCAATTGTTGGTCACCGGCTACCATGGGACTGCATCTCCTCACGATGCTCCACTGCCTTGTGGGTTAGACCTTTGGGTCAAAGGCTCAGAGTGTGGCCCCCTAAGATAACCACCTGCTTCGGTTTGAGAACCCGGGCAGTATCACAGCCCTCACACATATCGAATGAGATTTGTGTGGCGCCTATGTATTTGGTTCCTCTTTGTACCAATATCTGTGTTGAAATAAAAAAACAACATTAACCTAACCTTAACCCCAAACCCTAACCCTATGGACGACTTTCTATACAATATGCATTATGAATTCAGAACTTCTGAGCCTTTACCAAACCGTAACAAGTCTTTAAATCATGTAAAAGAAGAATATCCACTGTGATTCATTACTTTCTTGTAATATATTTTTACTTTATACTGTCTTCTGACTGGCTAACAATTGAAATTGCTCAAACGCTTCTCATTGGCTCGTCCGTAAATTAGAGTTTCGCCGTCCCATCTGTTTTAACCTCTCATTAATCACCTCCTCTCTAAAATCCGCTGTGAACCGACCGTATGTTAGCATCGCGTGTTGAACTTGGCTCCGTGGCCTTGAAATTGCTCAAACGCTTCTGATTAGCTCGCCGCTAAATTAGACTCTCGCCGTTGTTTTTGCTTCACTCATAGCGTGGAAATCGACAACTTTCGTACGAAGAAACGGAATGTGATATTACTGCACTTCATTATTGGGAGACTTGGATGAATCGATCAGATGTGAACAACGAATTGTCGCGACCAATAGGCCCTTATACTAAGTCGTATTTTTATCGTAGTTGCCGATTTAGTTAGGGGAATAGCATCCCTAAGTTCATGTTGAATAATATTCTCTTGTCCACCACAGATTGATGGAAATTAGTTTTTTACTGAACGATCAGTGCGTTTCGTAAGCGAAAATGCCACTAATTTGGTGGTCATACTTGTTAATTCTCCAGTTATGTCGTTGGTTACTATTTTATCGTCTATGTTTGGGACCGTCATTGTGGTGATGCAATGGATTAAAAGCAGAATGCAAGTATTAAGATTATATCCGTTGAAATTCGGTTTCCTAAACCAGAAAACGAGGTTTAAGTATGTCTCTTAAACGGGTATCAGGACTAAATTCGTAGTCCCAAGAGTTTTTGGACGGGAAAGTAGGTGTTTGGAATTCCATTTGAACTAGTGAAGCGAATAAGCCAGGGCCTAATCTTTGATTCTTGGCTTTATCACAAGTATTGATATAGATATGTGACAAAGTTCCGAAAGTGATTTGCTGTTTAGTTTAGCCCGTCTTCGAGGGACTTAGTTATTGGGTTACGTTTTTTAATCTGCAGTGATTTCATTTGTGGTGTGATCAGGGGAAAGTGGAAAGTACTAAGTGCTAGTGAAACATAATACCAAATCACTTTAATTATTTTCAACAGTGTGGTTGAAGCCAGGTTGGTAAAGTGATGCGGAGACCTAGTGGACGATAAAGCTCAGTAATTATTTTTTAGACTTTTTACTCAACACTTCTGCATTTACATAGTTGTTCCTCAGAGCCTATTTCGTAGAACCGTTACCTCACCATATTTGTTCACCTTTTTATTTAGGTGCAAAGAACAATCATCAATACTCATGGACTTTCGTCAGAAACCTATATTTCACAAACTAAAGTCTTGTAGGTTTCTTTTTCGGGGAATAAAGTATAAAAATGTTCCACTTCATTGGTTTCTTCATGTTTCTTATTATTTACAGACTCCATGTTGTTTTTGACATGGGCTTTTCACAACATCTAAGCAAAATAATTTTTTTATTTGATTATGTGTTGCTCAGTGTGTCCATTTAATCAAACTACCAAATTTCGGAATTTTTCTGGTAACTTCAAAGTCATGACTTTGAATGCCGCCTGACCTATCTCAGTCTGCAAATTCACACTTATTATTCTACTATATATCACATTCCAATCGCACAATTCTTAATTTAAATACTACTTTGTCAAAGAATTTTTAAATCGAATTTTAAAACCCACATTAAATATTGCGTCTAGTGTTTATTCATTATATACATGTTCAAGCACTACTTTCCATTTGATATGCTTGATATAATAACTAGAGTAAGCTTCTAGAAATCTCTATAATAAAATCTGATTGTTTGATCTGTATTTCTATCTTAATTGATATAACTAAATAACAATGGTAGTTTTTAGTAAGACTAAAATTGATTTCTTATTTATTTATTTGAATACATAAATATCGGTACAAGAGGGCACCAAATATATATGCGCCACAGAAAACAACGAGAGTTTGAAGAGAAGGAAAGAAAAGGTAAAAAGCGTAAAAAAAGAACAAAAACAAACAGATTAGTGTAAGGTAGTGTAATAATAATGGGGGAAACAGAAACGTACAATCAGAAGAGATCTTTCAGTTAAGGAAGAAGCAACCACTTTTTATGATGAAAGTAAAATAAGGTTACAGCAGGATCGCCACTGGCTTCTATTCTGAGCCATATCTGATAACGTTTCTACTCGAGAACTTCTAGATAGAGCCGAATTTCCATCATAGGCGAGCTGCTGTATAAGCCGAAAACAAGGACAGACAGAGTGGGAATAAAAGAGAGTGAATAAATGACGTAGTAAATAATAATAATAGTAATGTGGATCGTTTGATTGTTAATTGAAGCAAGAAAGTATTTTCCATAATTATCGACAGTTCATCATATTTGTGTGTAAGCTGTGATACTGCCCGGGTGCCCAGACCGAAGCAAATGGTTTTCTTAGGGGGCCACACCCCGAGCCTTTGACCTAAAGGTCTAACCCACAAGGCAGTGGAGCATCGTGAGGAGATGCAGTCCCATGGTAGCCGGTGACCAACAATTGGTTCATACGCCATTTGTTCCCGCAGGATACTGGAGCCCATGTAAACCACTAGTTTGGAATCCGGTTAAAGCGCCGGACATTCGCTTTCCGTCCTCTCATTTTTGTAAACAACACCCCCGCCACGAGAAGGCGGTGAGTAGGACTTCCCTGGCAGAGGCTGTGTATACGCGTGGCCGTGTGAGAGTATTTCGAGAGGGAGGGCGGACCCACCCCACTCTCGGCCATACCAGGGCATTTGGGGGCAAGACTGAAATAACAATGTTGTTTCAAATTTGCTACTAGAACAAGTTAGAAAAGGAACACGATGATATAGAGAGTTGGTGAACAAAAAGAAGTAATTTAGCTAGTCTTCTTTATTTCGAATTTCTCTTATTAGTTCAGAAATTTTCATGGATTAAACCAAACGGTTCTGATTTGTAATTGTTAAAGCATAAACAGATACACCAAAACTTGTCTAGAAATATCAATAATTAAGGTTCGAGTTAGTTTATTGCATGCGGTACATTATGTTTGGTCCGTTCATGTATAAATAAACTAGATATACTTTTCGTCCGGTTTCAAAATCTTTAATTCTATGTTATCTTAACATGTGAGCAGAGCTCTGAAAATGATGATCAAATGTCTGCCATCTTTAAATTTTACCCGACATTATCTTTCTCATGGGCAGTATATTACTCCCATGATATAGGTGTTTATGAATTATTAGTAGTACATTGGTCGTAATGTTGAGATTAACAACCCAGCTTCTTTTACCGATGTGACTACCGTATATTAGATTCTCAGGACTAATGCAACTATCCAGATAATAGGTTTTTTGTACATCAACGAGCTTATCAAAGTAAGTCTCTTGTGATTGAAGTTGATTTACATTGGTTGTTGCTATCAACATGGGAACCACTGAAAACCAGGAGTCGCTAAATATATATTTGTTTTTGGCATAAAACTCTGATTGTATTTTGTGGATATTTCAGCTCATATGCACCAACTTGAGTGAGTATCAAGGTGCTTATTAGTTGCACCAGCATAAATTTACTGTAACACAATCATATATAAGTCCACGCTTTTCGATCAAGACCGATTTTTTTTTTCCCTTATGATTGGCATCTTGAATGCTTGGCAAACGCTTTTTTAGTAACCTAACTATTACCAAGTGTATAATTTCTGATTTATTACCTGCTAGCATTTCAATCTTGAAACTGCCTTTTTTTCTAATAAAATCTAGCTGGATGGGACTATATCAAATGGTATGCAGACTCAGCAAAGTTAGTTCCTGGTTGTACAAATCCTTTGATTTTAGCTGCACAACAATGTCCAAACATGGACGTAATCAAATTAAAAGTGGCTGTCGTCCTAATGATACCTTTAATAGATTTTTCCAATAAAACATTTGATTTCTTAAGTCTACACAGTATGATAGAAACTGTTGAACAAAACCGTGATGGCTTTTTAAAGGAAGTTTTTCATGAATACAGATCGTTTTCGAATTTTGATATTAATGATTCTAAAACGACCTCGTTCAGGTAAGATAATATATTTTAGCAACCTATGGATCTTTAAAATTAGTTGGGTTTAGTACTCAGCACAGGCTTTTGGTGTGCTTTCTAACTACAGATATATTCCACTGTACAACTTGTATTGTGATATGATGTTAAATGTTGGTTCATTTGAATATTTCAGCTAATTTACGGCTTTTTTCATAGTTGTTAAATCACCTTAATTTTTGAGCTTCAGTATTATATACCAGTGATTAATGCTAAAAAAAGGAGAATATTAAGAGCGGTCATATGAATAAACAACAAAGATGGAGTAACCTAGTTGATAATAACAATGCTAGGGAACTGTATTTCTTTCACCTCATCGAACATCCTATATAATATTATAATTTGATTGGTAATGGATAAATCTAATCAGGTTTCACTGTTTTGTTGTTGCACTTCTGTATCATTCTTCAGAACTATCGTGAATAAAATTATGACTTACTTACTTACTTACTTACGCCTGGTACTCCTCGTGAAGGAGCATAGGCCACTCACCAGCATTCTCCATCCAACCCTGTCCTGGGCAATCCTTTCTAGCTCCGTCCAGTTGTAATTCATCCTTTTCATATCTGCTTCTATAATCCGACGCAATGTGTTCTTTGGCCTTCCTCTTTTTCGCCTCCCTTCAGGGTTCCAAGTTAGGGCTTGCCTCGTGATGCAGTTTGACGGTTTGCGTAATGTATGTCCTATCCATTTCCATCGTCTTTTCCTAATTTCTTCTTCAGCTGGAAGTTGCTTTGTTCTCTCCCACAGAAGGCTATTGCTGATGGTATCCGGCCAGTGGATGTTGAGTATCTTGCGTAGGCAGCTATTTATAAATACTTGTACTTTCTTGATGGTGGTTGTTGTAGTTCTCCAAGTTTCAGCTCCATACAGTAGAACTGCCTTGACGTTCGTATTGAAGATTCTCACTTTGATATTGGTTGAAAGTTGTTTTGAGTTCCATATGTTCTTCAATTGTAGGAATGCGACCCTTGCTTTGCCGATCCTCGCCTTTACGTCTGCATCTGAACCTCCTTGTTCATCGATGATGCTTCCTAGGTATGTGAAGGACTCTACATCTTCCAGAGTTTCGCCATCAAGAGTGATTGGATTGCTGTTCTGCGTGTTGAATTTGAGGACCTTGGTTTTCCCTTTGTGTATGCTGAGGCCTACTGATGCAGAGACTGCTGCTACACTGGCTGTCTTCATCTGCATCTGTTCGTGTGTACGTGATAGGAGGGCTAGGTCGTCTGCGAAGTCCAAATCGTCTAATTGATTCTGAGTTGTCCATTGTATTCCGTGTTTTCCTTCAGATGTCGAGGTCTTCATAATCCAGTCGACCACCAGAAGAAAGAGGAAGGGAGAGAGTAAACAGCCTTGTCTGACTCCAGTCCTTACTTGGAATGCATCTGTCAGCTGTCCTCCATGCACTACTTTGCACTGTAGTCCGTCGTATGAGTTCCGGATAATGTTGACAATCTTCTCAGGAACTCCGTAGTGTCGAAGAAGTTTCCATAATGTCCTCCTATCTACACTGTCGAATGCCTTTTCATAATCAATGAAGTTGATGTATAGTGATGAGTTCCACTCCACTGATTGTTCGACGATGATCCGTAGTGTTGCAATTTGGTCTGTGCACGACCGATCCTTACGGAATCCAGCTTGTTGATCTCGAAGTTGGGCGTCTACTGCATCCTTCATCCGGTTCAGCAACACTCTGTTGAAGACTTTCCCTGGTATTGACAGTAGTGTAATGCCTCTGTAGTTTTCACATTTGCTCAGATCTCCTTTCTTTGGAATCTTGACGAGGTGTCCTTCTTTCCAGTCCATCGGCACTTGTTCCTCCTCCCAAATCTTTTTGAATAGAAGGTACAGCATGCTTGTGGTTGCTTCGATGTCTGATTTCAGTGCTTCAGCTGGTATGTTGTCGGGTCCTGCTGCTTTCCCGTTCTTGATTTGTCTGACGGCCATTCTAATTTCTTCCGTCGTTGGTGGGTTGACATCTATAGGAAGATCTATGTGTGCTGCTTCGATGTCCGGTGGATTCATTGGAGCCGGCCTATTCAGGAGTTCCTCGAAGTATTCCACCCATCTGTTACGCTGTTGTTGAATTTCGGTGATTGGCTTGCCTTCTTTGTCTTTGACCGGCCTCTCTGGTTTACTGTATTTCCCTGCTAGTTTCTTCGTTGTATCGTAAAGCTGTTTCATATTTCCTTCTCTAGCAGCTTTTTCTGCCGTCGTTGCTAGTTCTTCCACGTATTTCTTCTTGTCGGCTCTAATGCTCCTCTTCACTTGTTTGTTTGCTTCTATGTATTCAGCTTGTGCTTGAACTTTCTCTGCTCGTGTTCGGCTGTTGTTAATTGCTGCCTTCTTGTTCTTCCTTTCTTTGATCTTGTCCAGTGTTTCTATAGAGATCCATTCCTTATGATGGTGTTTCTTTAGGCCCAGAACCTCTTGACACGTTGAAGTTAATGCTTCCTTGATGCCTTTCCAGTTGTCCTCCATACTAGTTTCTTCTTCTTTCAGTAGATCTTGTAAGGCTTGGAACCTGTTGTTGAGAGCTATCTTGAATTCATTGAGTTTGTCAGTATCTCGAAGGAAGGCTGTATTGAACCTTTGTAGTGCTGTTTGTCCACTTGTCCAGTTCTTTTTTAGCTTCAGTTTTAAATTGGCTACAACTAGGTGGTGATCTGAAGCTACGTCAGCACCTCTCCTGGTTCTTACATCTTCCATTGTCCTTCGGAATTTTTTGTTGATGCAAATATGATCTATTTGGTTCTCTGTAGTGTGGTCCGGTGAGATCCATGTAGCCTTGTGTATACGCTTGTGTGGAAATATTGTGCCTCCTATGACCAATTTGTTGAATGCACACAAATTTGCAAATCTTTCTCCATTTTCGTTTCTCTGTCCCAGTCCATGTCGTCCCATGATATCTTCATATCCGGTGTTGTCTATTCCGACTTTGGCATTTAGATCTCCCATCAGAATAGTTAGGTCCTTTCTTGGCATTTCTCAATGATTGACTGCAGCCGCTCGTAGAACTGATCTTTAATGTCGTCGTTGCTATCATTGGTGGGTGCATAACATTGGATAATATTCATTAAGATCCCCTCCTTCTTTGTTTTGAATGATGCTTTGATGATTCTGGATCCGTGAGACTCCCATCCTACAAGTGCATTTCGTGCTACTTTGGACAGCATAAGAGCGACTCCCTGAGTGTGTGGAGCATTGTCCTCCTCGTGACCGGAGTATAGCAGCATCTCTCCCGTAGCTAGCCTTTTCTGTCCAGCTTGGGTCCAGTGGGTTTCGCTGATTCCCAGTACTGCTAAGTTGTATCTCCTCATTTCCATTGCTATTTGACTGGTCTTCCCGGTTTCCCACATTGTTCGAACGTTCCATGTACCTATAAAAATTTTTGCTCTGGTTGTTAGAAGGGGCATCGGCCTCGTGGCTTCCGAAGGAACTCGGCTTTCACCATGAAGCGTCATAATTCTTCTAACTGAAGACCTTCTAACTCCCAGGGCAGAGTTTAAATGGTTTGAATAATTTTTTCTGGTAAGCGTTTTTTTAGCGAGTTAGTTTTCTACGGGATGGGGACGCTAACCCCATGCCCAACCCTCCTCCTTTACCCGGGCTTGGGACCGGCAGTAACCCTATTAGAGCTACAGGCGGAGTTAATAAAATTATGAGGTGAAATATTAATAAGACTTATGAGTAGTAACCTTAAATGTTTGTATTCCTATTTGCACCAATATTGTCCAGAAGATTATACTCCAAAAATATTGATGTTGAACTTTTTTACTTATTACATATTCACTGTTAATCTGTCCTAGTTAGTATTAAGTTTATTGTGTAATTAGTAAATATCACTTTTCCAACAGGTACAGGTTTGTACACTCGGCTTTAAGTCACTATTTATTTAAAGACAAAAAAAAACAACACAGCCCCTAAATGGGAGAACATAAAACAGAACTGTGATCTAGTTGAAGTTTAAGTGCTGAAACTACTAGACCATCACATCCTAACATTCTCGTTATATGCCAGTTTCTAATATAATCAGACGAACAAATGGTATGTTAATATATCCAGATTGTACCAGTTTTTCAATTATGATGTCTCCATGATTTATCCTATCTTCTCAGTGAAATTGTTATCTCAATCTTTTCAGTTATTCTGAAAGCTCATACTTAATCTTATCAAATATTCACGTGCTAACCATAAGCATTTATTTATTTATTTGAACACACATATTGATACGAAGGATCACCGAGTACATATGCGCCACACAAGTCACTTGATTTGTGTGTGGGCTGTGATACTCCCTGGGTGCCCAAACCGAAGCAGGTTGTTTCCTTAGAAAACCACTCTCCGAGCCTTTGACCCAGAGATCTAGTTTACAAGGCAGTGGAGCAACGAAAGGAGATGCAGTCGCATGGTAGCCGGTGATTAACGATTGGTTCATACGCCATTTGTTTACTCAGGATTCTGGAGCCCATGTGCACTAATGATTTGGAATCGAGGTTTCCCAACTTCCCGTAGGTAGATCCTCGATATTCACCGACCCGGTTAAAGACATTCGTTTTTTGTCCTCTCAATTTTGTGAACGACACCCGCCACGAGAACGCAGTGAGTAGGACATTCCTGGCAGGGATATATACGCGTGGCTATTTGAGAGCATTTCGAGGAGAGCTGACTCTCGCCACTCTCGTCCGTACCAGGGTATTGGGTGGCTTTTTATTCGTTTACATAACTGTCTGCTTAGAACTGAATGTGTAAAATAAACTTATCCTCATCATATCTCTTGTTTTGACGTTCTAACTTTATGTGCCGATGGACTGTTACGAAAGTAAGTATGGAATACATGAAAGCTAAACTGAATTTAGATACGTGTACTAAAAGATAGCCATCCAGCAGTATAATAAACAACAAATTATGTCGTGTTAACCAGTAAAATGTTATCGAATAAAAATAACATCTGAAAAACTAACTCATTAATTAAGTACACACTAATATACCTCGACTTGCACCACATCATTTATAAGATCTATCTGGCTTTCCGAAGTAAAAATATGATTTCAAATGATTTGAAAACATGTGTCGTTCTAATATTCTATTTTACATGTTTCTGTTGTATTTAAAGTGTAAAATTAGGTTGTTATGAAAACGACGGAATGTTTATGCTAATTAATGCTTCCTCTGGTCTCTCATCCGATCTTAGTTGAAATAGGTGGATTAGGTGAGTATCGCACAAATATTATAAATTATGTGTTGTATATTTCTTTTCCATTTCTTTCTCACTGTCCAAAGTTAAATGTATTTCGGTTTTTGACTTCCTCATCATCCTGTCTCAAACTTTATTGTGAATGTATATTAGGAAAGGGTTTTTATGTAAAACTGACTTGTATGTCCTACAGTTTAGTGGAAAAATTGTAGTCCGATATTGATATAATATTTATTATTCACCTAATATCATTGGACACAATATAATGTTTCTAGACTATATTCGTGGGTTCTTATTGATATGTAAGGGGACGTTGTATTGTCTCGAGTTTTTCAACAGACACTAAACTTTATTCCTTGAATCTAGTCGGCATCACGATTCCGTCATGAATTGTTTATAAGTAGTACTGAAATATTTGATTTTTATAGGGTTGGGATGAGCTTGTTTTAACATTTACTCTATACGAGATGACCAATTAGAATTGTTTCAATCAACGTACATTCTTCAGGTTTCTCAATGACATTTGTGCATTGGTCTATTACATATGACTTTATTCTATAGTAAACGAGCCTTACTTAATTGAACTTCCTAAATGAGATCGTAAGACAAAGCGTAAGCGTTTTAAGTTAATACTAAATATTTTATCATATCTCCAACTATCAAATCTCACTGCTCTTGTAATCCATCGACTAATTATGTTACTTATACTTAGAAATATATAACTGTCGTGATCTTGTCCATTTTTTTCTTACAAACATAATTTTCTAAATAAACAAATGTAATTTTAATAGTTGAGATCATGAGTTAGTTGAAGCTAGACCACCATGGAAAACCTGGAAGCACTAGCTGGCCGTTTCATCCTATTGTGTGACTTCTCAGCAGTGCTCATTCGCGATATTCGAACCCACGATCTATCGGTATCGCGCGCGAACGCCTAACCACTAGACCACTGAGCCGGCCTCCAACAGTGTTAATGTTTAACTTCAACTAATCCACGAAATTGAGCGAAACATCCACCATTGTTTTCTGTGAGTTACTATCTCACAATAGACCCAACTGAACTCCACTGGTTACTGCTTCTCACTAGAAATCCAGGAAATACCTCTTGAAGCCAGTCACTAGTGAGCATATGTTGAGTAGTATCAGGTTTTTCTTGTGGGTATTATAGTAATTTTAATAGTTAAGATCATGAATCAATTGAACGAAACGGCCAACCAGTGCTTCCAGGTTTTTCATGGTGGTCTAGCTTCATTTGACTCGAACTCAACTATTAAAATTAATATAATATCCACAGGAAACGCCTTCTGATATTAAAAAAATGTAAGTTGTACGATAAAAATCACTAGACAATTTACCGAGTAAAGAATCGCTTAATGTCTTACACTTTTACATATTTTTAAATTTCCTCTGTTCAATTTTGATTTTATATTTGTGCGAAAAGTATGAGTATATATTCTCATTATTATCAGGATGCGATGCATCCGAATGAGTAACAAGGATCTTTTTATTCCAAACTCTTTAGATGGAAGAATATAATGATCGTGTCGCTAATTAGTCATACACAGGTTTGTATGATCGACTTTGGGGCTCTTGTTTCGTTAATTTCGTATGAAGATATGTAATATTAATCGGTTCTTCAGTTGATGTTAGTCAGTAGTGAAAATGACCTTTAAATTACTCAATGTAGGCAGTGTCTGTCATTGAAAGGCGTACCTCAAAAGTACATAAACCTTGTGACGGCTCTTTACTTGGGCACTACTAGACGAGTCAGAGCTTATGGCGAACTGTCATCTGCTTTTGCAACCTCAAATGGTGTCCGTCAAGGCTGTCCACTTTCTCCATTTTTGCTTAATTTCATCATAGACCTGCTAATGGAAATATAGCTCGACTGAATTCTCGGGTATTGATCTCCTACCAGGAGGTCCACTTATCAACTTGGCATACGTAAATGATATATTCCTGTTTGTTGAAGACGCTGATAAAATGCCGAGTGTTTTAGTAGCACTAAACAACAATGCCAGAATGCTTGGAATGCGCTTTTCTTCCTCTAAATGCAAGTTGTTTCTTCAGGACTGGCCTGCGTCAACACATGAATTAAGGACAGGCAGTGAAGTAGTCGGAAGCATCCACAACTTCGCTTATCTTGGAAACCTGACCAACCCTAATTGGTTAGTGTCTGACAAAATCTGTACGCGGATTCAAAAAGCTCGTTTGGCTTTTGTTAACTTACGCCACCTATGGCGCAGGCGAAATATCCGTCTATCAATTAAGGGACGAGTATACTGTGCGGCAATCCATTCTTTTCTACTTTACGGTTGCGAAAAGTGGCCATTAATAGTAGATATTCGTGAGTTACTAGTATTCGATCACAGATGCCTTAGAAATATTGCTCGCATCTTCTGGAATCACTGGGTACGTAATAGTTAAGTTAGACGTAGGGTATTAGGTAATGATGGTAAATTGGTTGATGAGGTTATGAATCTACATCGACTGAGATGGTTGGGCCACGTGTTGCGTATGCCTGAACACCGATTACCACGATGCGCAATGCTAACTGGTGTTGGGGATGGTTGAAAGAAAGTTAGGGTGGCCAAACCAAAACGTGGCATCAGTGCTTGAAGACGCTAACTTCCGCTCTAAGCCATGTTGGTGGATGCAGACCACTTGGTTGGGGTCCACGTGACTATCTTAACCAATGGTTGGAGACTCTGAGTGACATGGCTCAGAATCAATCACAATGGCGTAGGTGTTTACACTCTCTGTCTTCTCTTAAACTAAGAGATTAAAATCACTTCATATCTTTCTTTCTGCTAACTAATTCTTTCTTCCTTATACATAATCTTTCTTTTATATATTACCACCATTGACCTAACCACTGCTATGAATCCGGTGTTCATCTTGCTGTCCTAATGTTGTATGGCAACGTGGACCGATGCATATATGTGCTTGGTCCTACGTTGTAGCTGACTGACTGTCTCAAAATGTCTACAAATACATACAACAACTTCAAGAAGTCTGCTGATCATCACTGTATATGTGAAGCTGATCGGTGCTGATGTGTCTATGAACACTTGTAATCTATTGCATACCTAATTTTTAATTTGTTTGTTACAGTTGGAATTGTCTGGTCTCATTGCAACAATGCAGACATTCAGATATATCTATGTTTGGGAACGTAAATCATATCATATTTATTGTTATTTCGCCTACACGTTGGGTTTTATGTTGTTTGTATCATTGGTTGTTAAAACAAAAAAGTTACAAATATTATTCATGAGTTGGTATGCAAAAACTGTGAAACAAAAACACAATTTTCAAAATGAGTGCTTTCTTTTTTTATACATATTTTGAATCTTCTACACACTTTTAATTAAAATTTTTTACATAAACTTATTTTGATTGAAACATTGTTTTAACGATTGTACATCAGAATTTTCTAACATTGATTATACATAGCTTATATTTGTATATAAATCTACTTGTCAATTAATTTCTTGTCTTTTATCTACTTCTTTATTTGTGATTTACTGTCTGCGTCGACCAGACTGCTTTCATTTTCTTGTTTCACCACTATGCGGCTTAGAGTAAAAATATTGGAGTATAAGTATTGTTTAAATAAGACTGTCATTTCAATGCAATTGGTTAATTCGGTATTTTTCGACGACTGTAAAATCATCAACAATAGTGCATGGAGGTTACACATTAAAATTTTCTATCTGTTCGAAATCTACTTATTTACTTGTTTTCTTACTTAGATAGTTGACGACCCTTTTCATTGTAGAGCAAAAATAGCTCTATTTAACCTACCACAAAATTAATAAATACACTATTGTAAACTACTGTCGTAAAATATACATTTTTCTGCTTTTAAGTGCAGTAATGACAAATTACTTACTTAAAAATTTAGTAGGATGTAATATTTGAAGAAGCTGTAGCTTAATGAAAGGGCTTTGATCACTTTGTCAATAAATGTTCTATAGAAAGCTTAAAGTATACAAAATTTAGATGGAAATAACCGGTAGGTGAAATTCTTGATAATATGATGAAAATACAAAGAAAATCACTCGAACTCATTAAACTACAGTAAAATGAGTTAAGCTATATCATCGAGCTATATAAATAATAATAATAATATGCTGTTGATAATTCTAGCTCAAAGTTTTTAAAACGAAAGAGATTTATTATAGTGCTTAAGGTGAAAAGTTTTATTGATATCTAAAGAAGGTTGCCAGGTGATGGTGGTCAATGTGGGCGATTCATTATGGAATTATTCGATATCTGGTTTAAGATTCCTTTAGAAAATACAGAGGCTGAAGCTTCCGAAAATAATAAAATGTGAGTGTTACTAGTGTCGTTTTTCATTGAACGACGAAACAGTCGACTTGTCTTGTTAACGATGTGCAGCAGCTCGTATTTTTGACTCGTCAACTATCTGGTAACTGTAAACAATCCTTCGACCAGACGAGCATGAATAAGTGACTTGTATCTACATCCACTAGCTTGCCTAATTTGTTAGTTACATGATATTTGGCGAAACATGTCTTCGTGTTGATGAGGATGTTGTCGGTCGCTGCCAATGTCTTTTAATTTCGCACTCGTATTTATTGTAAAAATCATGACGGCTATCACCGATAGTAAAATGACAGGAAGCTTCAGTTTGATATTTTGTCAGCTATCTGACAAACTCTTCTTTATTTGAAAGTCAAACACTAACAAACATCTCTTTGAAAATATTCTCAGCTTTGTTGTTTAAAAATAAGGATCATCATTTGGTACTGACAGTTTTATTCATCCAGAAATGTACTCCGATGGACGTTCGGAACTACTTTTCTGACTGGTCGATCTGTTAAGAGCAGAAGAGTATACAGAAACAATTTTACACTTAAGAACTTGGTTTTAGTCAACTAAATATCATTCGTAATTAACGTGCTAAGGCGGTCGCAACACTACTCAGGTTTGTTAACGATGCCAAAATCTCACTAGAAATGATAAACGCAAGTCCCAACTAGCGTTTTACCGATATCTTTTTTGTTTTTTGTGTCCTAAAAAATCATTCATCCAATGAAGTTTCTGATTACTGTTGTTTTAAGAGGGATATACAGTGAGAGGGTAATTAGTGGACTCACGGTTTCTGGTAATTATTTGCAAGAATAATTTAGCCACTTTAAGCAGTGGTTTTGAAAGTAGTCACTGACACGGAATGTGTGTTCCAGGTAAATAATGTGTATATTGACATGAACGAGGTGCGGAGTATTACGCTATACTCCAATTTTACATAACGTCCTTGAATGGATTCTGTGAATGAAGATAATTTGTAATAGTTTTTCTTTGTCACTCTTGATCAAATTTATTTGCTTGTTGGTTTCCCGTATGTACCTGAAAGACACAAAACCAACAATTAAGACTCGGTGTGATTTTTGCTCTAAGAGTACCAATATCTATTACATACATCTGTTGTGATACTTCTGCCCTATAATGCCAATTCCTACTATTCTCCAAGCAATAATGAATATCCGAACTCTTATCATCTTTCATGTTAAATACATCTAACTCTTAACCTCATTAAAAGGATGTAACCGTCCTAATTTAAATGAAATATTAGAGGGTGCGATTGGAGGTTATTCAATTGTTCTTAAGTGTGATGCCTACAAAAAATGTGGACAGTTGAGAAAAGTTTGTAATCTAAACCGATATGCATTATAGTTCTTAAGATTGCTTTTGAATTATCGAAAAATCAGCTGCCTCAATTCATCTGTGTATGTAGGAGATTCACCATTATCAAAGCGGTATAACATGGAAAATAACCTGCCATTTTAATCATACGGTGAAGGACAGGCCACCTAAGAATAATTTGAATTTTTAATGTTATTGCGACTTCTCTGTCGCTACAAACTGACGAAATTAGGTACTTGTATTTTACATTGCATTTAAGGTCTTTCTGTATTTGTGAATCGAGTGCTGTTCGCACACAATTAGGATTATGTTATATCCCGATGAGAATAATGAATAGTAACTTTTGAGACCCATTTATGAACCAATACTTAACGTATATTTTTATCGTATAATTATTCTAATAGCGTATCTGAAATCTCACATTTTCATTCATAAGTAATTAGCTAGCAGATTTTAATATTACTACTTCTAATACTAGTGAATCTATGATGATCAGTTATTTAATAAATATCCATTACATCAGAGTAGTTTTCTGAACAGTACTTACACTTGACTTATTGTAATATGTGATGATGATAAACTGTGAATATGAGACGTACAGGTATCCTACAGAACAAAACTAGAAGTTTTTATCCTCATACCTTATTTATAAGCACGTGGATATTCGCCATACTCTATCACTGATTTATCCACCATTTAATAATAAGAAACAAGTAAATTATCATGCGCCTTTGCCTATATTCGCTTAGGCGTGTAATACAATACGCAGTAGAATGTATCATATCATAGCCCGTTTTAAACCTTCAAATATCCGGATTTGACATAACAGTCAAACAAAAAGAGAATACTTTGTGACTTTTATCGCTAACCGATATCATCATAGGGATTATTTAAATACCATGAAGTAATTGACAGCTGTTTCGTACTTTCTCGTGACCCCTCAGATATTTCCACTAACGTCACTCGGAACATTTATTATTTGTGATGAACACGATGCATTCCGTTTAGGTTTCATAATAGTTGATTTGTGATAAAACATGGTTTCCATTCAATATAATCCTTAAGTTAATGTTTCATTGGAGACTTTGCTGACTCTGTACGTCACACTTCCCACTAATAATAATAATAATCTTATTTTTCGACTACAATTCATATTAGTTGAAACAATCGATCGCACAAATCTGATGATTATTTTTCATAACTTTAATGAATAGTTGGCAGTACATCTAAACACCAGTTATGTTGTGTATGTATGGTAGAATACTATTTTCAAAGTCGTTTACTAAAATCCCCTAAATTCGAAACATTGTTAACTGATGATAGGATGAGAGAGAAATAAGAAAAGACTACTGATTACCTGCTGGGACCCGTAGTAAGAAAAAATAGAGTATTTTGAATAACGTTGAAATTGTATCCGATGTCTAGTATTTATCTACACGAGACAATTCAGTCATAATCAATGATCTTGAGAAAGACTAAACATAAGGAAATATGGTTTTAAAGAAAGTTCTTTTGAAGGATAAAAACTACGAAACAATGTTAAAGCTCAATATTTCGAAACGAGATGGAATGTAAATGAATCACTTAAACCGATTCTGTGACACGCCAACGACTGATCACGACGATCCCAAACAGTCAACGACTTTGTGGATTGATACGTCATTTTTAGGAAAGGTAAAGATCCGCTTTAAAATGAAGACAGTAAAGAAGAGATATGAAACAAACAAATGATAAAAAGACTAAGCAGTGTCGTACCCTAGATTTTCCGAGGGTTGTCAGCTTGAATCCCTACAGTGTTCGCTTTCATTATGAGGTGAGGACGAAACCCATCCCGGAAATTTGATGACTGACTTACTAAGTGATCATTATCGACTAGTTGTGACAGTATGAAGTCACGCATTGACTCTGATAGACCCTGTACAAATCAAGAAGTTAGGTGCTCACTAGTTGTGTGGTCCTACTCTAGATATAGCTCTTTTCACAGAGCAACTGAAATGGTAACTACACATAAAAGAAGCGAAACCAGGTAACTTGTAGTATCGGTTGCTATGTTAAGCCATATAGCTTATTCTAGCTTCCGGACAAGCCAATTTACTCATTTTCTCCAACTCACATTTTGACATTTTCGCTTATTAATCTTGACTGTTTTTATATGAGCGTATGTGTGCACTTCTTACCCTATTCATCGCGTATCTGTAGCTTGCTTTTGTTCGGCTACAAATATCGATTAACTCTTGATTAAATATAGTTGGGTCACACGCCTTCTACACCGTGCATCATTTCACTCCGTTTCTTCGATCGTTTGTATCGATTAACAATTGTACGAAATACACGTATTCAAGATTCACTCTCGTATTTGACTTATTTAATTCCGTTATACACTAACGCGAGTTAAGTCGATGATTATATACGAGAATAGTCAGGATGTATATTTCGACAGCAATTATTTGATAATAATCAGAAACGATCCATATGGAGTCAGATATAAGGCCACTAAAAACTTATCCTTTAGCTGAAGCACTACTTTTAGTTGACTACAAAAGATAGACAGACTAGACTTTCTCACTGCTCTCATTGATTTAGAATGTAGCACATCGCTAGTTATAGCTTCGTTACCACGAATCCTCATAAAGAGGTTTACAAACAGTATATATATATATATATATATATATATATATATATATATTACCATCCCGTACACTGTATACAAGTCAGTATAAATTTTACCAAATTTAGTTACTTGTTTGTGGTGTTGCCTGAGAATATATTTCTAGCTCCTTGTGAGTATCGGGTTAAGTTTTTCCTGTAATCAATAGATAAGAAGTTAAGACGTTTATATTGAGATATAGGTGAACTTTTTATATATACACTTATACTGACAGATACACCTTCTTTTCTGTTCAGAAAAAAATTTCGGGAAAATAAAATCTGTCAAGTGCTTCCTCATAAATGAAGTTAACTTTCAAGTGTACACTGTTATATTACCCTAGGAGTTCTTATGTAAAAATCTGATGAATGTAGCAGCAGCAAAAATGAAGCTTATCAATTGCCTTGAGGGTCTCATTTCCTGATTTTGTAAAATATCTATTGAGATAGGGTTTGAACGTGAACTTTCTATCTACTCAGCCTGTTTATTGTGTGTTATTAAAGACGAGATGAGCGTTCAGTATACATCCTGGAAGTATTTCTTTAGGATTAATAGTGGGAATTCTGATGTTGATTTGCTTTTTTGATGGTTGCTAGCACAAAATGCTAACCATCTCAGTGAATGATAAATTGATGGACAAAGAAGTAATATATAGAGATATATGCTTCCTCTCTAAATGAATATATTAAAACCTGGAAATGAAATCGAAAGCTTTCTTGACGTTTTTGTTAACATAAGACCACGAAGATTCCGGGGTGCGTCTCAGAGAATGGGTTATATCCGCATTTTACGGAATAGATAATTAATATAGAACAACTCGATAAATGCTTTGACACAGGTTGATTTCATGTTGATTGTCATTATCAGTTGGCATCATAAAACAACCCACTTATCCACAAAATTATTCAATCTAGTTATGAAATACGTAAGAAAATGTAAGTTAGATAGTCACTTTGTCAAATATTGAAAGTCGTAAGTGAAGACGTTCGTATGGCTATTCGAGATTGATTATAATAACAAGAACCCTTTACTAGTTAACTGGTATAATTTCAGGCATACCAACCTTATTGCTGAATATAGTTGTTAGCCGGATATACATTAAGGGTAACGACACGAAAAGGTTTAGAAAACTAATATTGTAAGAATACTTCCACAGTCCATGATGACTCAAAACCAGTCATATCTAGCGTGAGGCCTGCCACGTATGTGCATATGTCCAGTTTGCCACTACACATGACAGCAAGATACCGGAGTTGTATAAATAATAACAGTATTAATAGAAGAGATTAGACGTAGAAGGTATGTTTGGGAAAACATAGGTTCGTGGAATAAGAAAACCAAGAAACTTACTATGTAAAGGCAGACAAAGACTGAATACATCTGCGCTACGGAGAACTATTCAGAACCTTGTCACCCAAAGTCTCTAACCACAACTGGCCCCCTTTATATAGAAGTGAATGAGATAGGTACTATCAATATACCCCAAAAGTTATAAAACACGTGCTCTCAGAAGTGTATTAGTTGTTATCACTTCTCAACTAAAGCTATTTTCAAGGCTTCCAAGTGTTAAAGGCCATAAACTTGAGTACTTTCAAATAATTGGGAAGATGTTAACAGGTTAGTAGATTGTTGTAAAAGCTTCGTCACATAATTTTTAAATAACTTTAGAAAACAACTAAGTTGTTTTCAAAATAATATTTAATATTCTAGATAATTTGAAAAAGATAAACAAACTCGAGGGAGTAAAATAAATTATGAACTAAAGAAAAGCATTTTGTTTCCAGAGAAGAACGAGGAATAGAGGAGGGATCGGTCAAATAAGCATTGATTTAATCTGGAGGTTTTAAGTTATATTTACATGAATTATTCATAAATTGATTAGTTACGCTTTCATTAGTAGAACTTTTGGAAGTGAAGTTGGTTGATTCTTTTGTTACACAATTTGTAAGTATTTCTGACGAACCATTGTTTGTATTGACATTTAAAAACCCCATTAAATAAGGATTACACGAGTTTGAAGTTGGTGTATTTAGTGAGCTATTTAATACATTTCCTGAAGATGATGTAACATAATGAACTGAATTTAACTGCGGAACTAAAAGTAATTGATTTGTGGCCATTTGTGCAGTTAAAAGAAGGCTAGAGGATAACGGAGTTAATGAGAGAACATTTTGTGATGGAGATACACTAACTGGAACATATACCACTTTTTTACATTCAGATGAGTTGGAAATGTTAGTTGCCTGAGAAATATTATTACAAAACGCTTCATTATTTAACGACACAGTACGACCATTTTGACCAGAATCTATAATTGTACTTGGGATGATATCAATACGATGCTCCAATTCATCAACATGATTCTGATTTAACAATTTAGGAACTGCGTCATTTTGTAACGTTGAGTTCACTTTACTACTTTTATTGGATACATTTTTTAAATCACTAACGTATTCCTTTTTACCAAATGTATCACTGTTAACAATAACTGTACTATCTTCCTTCTTGCAACTTTTCCGACTATTTACATTTTTATTAACTTGCGAACTGTTTAAATCTGGCTGATCATTTTTCATCGATGAATTGTTTGGATTCACAGATGAACTTAGACAAGTCTGTATTAACTTTTTACCACATTCCAATTCAATAATACCTTTCAATCTTTGTGTTGCAAACGTATAAACATGATTTGTTTCTGAAGCAACAAGTAATAATACTTCTGCACCGGTTAATTCTGCCAATTCCACAGCCTTTTTCATAAGTCCAGTTTTACGTTTTGAAAAAGTAGAATATCTCTTAGTACGATCAGAAATAAATTCAATAGGTATCTTCTGTTTTCCTTTGGTAAGTTTTTCACAAGAATTACGTTCGTCTGTGAAACAAGGCTGTTGGGCAATCATATCAGTGATACCATTAACGTTGGCGCATAATCTGCGCTTACTACCGGGTGGATGAATATCAGAAAACGATGTGTCGTCATTAACTTCAGAAATATTGATCAATTGAACGCTATTATTTCCTAATTGTGAGTCTAATTCACTGTCACTAGTAAAATTATAACTGTTATCTCCACTATTTGACAAATTTTCTGGGCATTCAGTGATGAATTTGTAAACATGAGGTGATGACTCTCTAAAATATATCCCATTATTGACCGAATGAGCAACACTTTCCATAGTTTCCATACTTTTCCTAGTAAAAAAAAATAAGCTGAATGCTGATTTAGAGAAAAATTTATATAAATACTTAGACCATACATAACATGTTGAAGCAGGTTATATCGTTAATTGATGTGAAAATTTTAGAACATATTCGGAATGTTATTTGTGAAATGGAATTTCAGATTAAGTGAAGATTAATATATGACACTTGTTAAATAAACAGATATTAACGAAGTAAAGCCTCAAACGTATCAGACTGGTTCTCTGGTCACCAGAACATAGCGGCCAATGACTATCTATATAGGTACTTAACGCTTCAACATTATTTCATTTCTAATTCCAAATAAGGTGTTGATATCAATAGGTTTTGATAACCTCTTACTAGATTAAGTTTATACAAATATCGAGAATTTCGAGATTCCTGTCAAAGATATTGACAAATTTCGGGATTTCTGTTCTAAATAGTCTCCGGGTTAAGAAACCTATGGGAAATCGGACATACTCGAATTATATCTGCTAGAGGACACGTGTTACGTATGCCCAATGACCGACTACCTCGACGTGCGATGTTAAGTGGTATAGGAGTAGGTTGGAAGAAAGCTAGAGGCGGCCAAACCAAAACATGGCACAAGTCCATGAAGTCATTGACAAGTGGACTGAGTCATGTTGGTAGGTGTAGACTACCTGGTTGGGGACCGCGAGATGATAGCAACCGATGGTTAGAGACCCTGAATGACATGGTTCAAAATCGTTTGCAATGGCGCAGGTGCATCCACTCTTTGTGTTCTCCCAAATTCTAATCTTCTGAATCCTTCATGTCCCTTTTTTCCTCTTTCCAAATTTATTTCACTGGATTATACTCTTTAAATAATATCTCCAAACCCTAATCTTCCCGATTACTGCTTATACTCTTGCTACGTCTACCACTACGGGATTTGAATCGAAAACTGCATCTCTGTGCTAATGTGGTGTGGCAACTCGAACTGATGTACGTACGTGCGAAGTTCTACGTTGTTACTGACTGACTGACTGATATCTGCTAGATTGATAAAAGCAATGAGAATTTAGTAAAAGCCGAGGTATTTGCTAACATATAACAGCCTGTCATATATTCTTAGATCATAGAATGAGCAAGAATTTTTTCTAACCATCGAATGCTTTATAGCTCTATGTACCTTCGTAGCATTCGCAACGGAATCGTAGAAACAGTATCCCGGAGAAATTTCAGATCTTACTGTTTGCACCACATTATATTGGACAACGAATTCCCTTGGACGAAGATCTAAAGTTTCTTATCTTCATAACGAACGACATAACATAAAAATCCAGTTGTTTTCCTAACCTCATATATCTTACGTGGTGGATTTGTATGACTGAGAATTTAAATATAACGATTCGACAACCAATGTCAACAGCCATGTAAACGCATGTATTGCATAAAATCTGAAAGCACAAAACAATTTACAACTATATAGAGCCTAGAAATCACCTACATAATGTCCGACTAAACGATATTTCGGGAATTCGGAAGAAATATGATACAAACTTTCACCTATTCAGTTTCTGTCTGTACTACTAATAACTGCAATCTATGAGAATAATATCCGACAGAAATGTCTACCATCAAAACGCTAAACCCAGTCATAATAGAAAGTAAAATTAACTTTCAGAGGAAGAAAGTTGGCAGGTATAACCTACAAGTACACGTTAGGGATTTTTATTATTATTTCAACACATAAATATTGGTACAAGAGGGCACCAAATATATATGCGCCACACCATATTTGTGTGTGTGGGCCGTGATACTGCTCGGGTGCTCAAACCGAAGCAGGTGGTTATCTTAGGGGGCCACACTCTGAGCCTTTGACCTAAAGGTCTGATCCACAAGGCAGTGGAGCATCGTGAGGAGATGCAGTCCCATGGTAGCCGGTGACCAACAATTGGTTCATACGCCATTTGTTCCCGCAGGATACTGGAGCCCATGTAAACCACTAGTTTGGAATCCGGTTAAAGCGCCGGACATTCGCTTTCCGTCCTCTCATTTTTGTAAACAACACCCCCGCCACGAGAAGGCGGTGAGTAGGACTTCCCTGGCAGAGGCTGTGTATACGCGTGACCGTGTGAGAGTATTTCGAGAGGGAGGGCGGACCCACCCCACTCTCGGCCATACCAGGGCATTTGGGGGCACACGTTAGGGAAGTGAGGCTTAGAGGGTAAAAACTTGATGATCGGCTCAGGTACCTATCATGAACACCAGTCCAGAGGAAAACACTTGTGAACGACTGCAGATACTTATGAAAAGGCTAAAACCACACTTTAACGAATGGTGGAAATTTCGATTTCAAAATCTTCAGTGACAAGTACAGAAAAACACTTAGCAAAAGAAGATTCAAAATCATATTCATATAGGATTCAAGCAAGAACACGTTCGAAATATAAATCACTGTTGAAATCACATCTCAGTCTATGAAGAACATAAGAAAATATCCATTGGGTACTATACTGATCTGTCTAACGACGTCCTAAATCCCTGAGTTGTTGCCCCCAAATGCCCTGGTATGGCCGAGAGTGGGGTGGGTCCGCCCTCCCTCTCGAAATACTCTCACACGGCCACGCGTATACACAGCCTCTGCCAGGGAAGTCCTACTCACCGCCTTCTCGTGGCGGGGGTGTTGTTTACAAAAATGAGAGGACGGAAAGCGAATGTCCGGCGCTTTAACCGGATTCCAAACTAGTGGTTTACATGGGCTCCAGTATCCTGCGGGAACAAATGGCGTATGAACCAATTGTTGGTCACCGGCTACCATGGGACTGCATCTCCTCACGATGCTCCACTGCCTTGTGGATCAGACCTTTAGGTCAAAGGCTCAGAGTGTGGCCCCCTAAGATAACCACCTGCTTCGGTTTGAGCACCCGGGCAGTATATCAGCCCGCACACAAAAACATGATAAACTATCTACTTATGAAAAATATTCCTCTCGCTCCAAATAACAATCAAGTGACTCACATTATTATTATCATTACTATTATTATTATTATCATTATTATTATTTACTACATTATTATTCACCCTCTTTTATTCCCACTCTGTTTATACTTATTTTTTTCGACTCATACAGCAGCTCGTGTATGGTGGAAACTCGACTGTATCTAAACGTTCTCGAGTCACTGTCCGGTTGAAAATTGTATGTTACCACCGAATATGAGTACTGAAGCAGTTTTTCTGAAACCACGTGCACCATTCAAACTGGCTGCCTTCAACGTTCGCACATTTATGCAGGTCGGACAACAGATAGGGCTGGCTATGTCTTTGGAAAGTCTTAATATCGATGTTTGTTGTCTATCCGAGACCCGTATTCAAGACTCTGGCGAAGTACTACAAATTCGATCTCCATCTGTCGCTTCGAAAAGCTTGTTTTACGTGCGCTTATCCGGGGACCCTGTGGCATCTTCGTCTGGTCTTGCTGGCGTTGGTGTCGCACTAAGCGCTAGAGCTGAGGCAGCACTAGTCGATTGGATCCCCATTAACAGTCGGTTATGTGCTGTTAGATTAGAAAGTTCCATCAAAGTGAGAAGAAATCGGCGTGAGAAACGATGTCTTTTCGTCATCTCCGCCTATGCCCCGACAGATTGCAGCCCGGATGCAATCAAGGATGAGTTTTACCACCAGTTATCTGTTCTTCTCCAGAAAGTGCGTTCGACAGATATTGTAGTACTAGCCGGAGACTTGAATGCTCAGGTCGGGCGTCTAGGCACAGAAGAGAGTCGTTTAGGTGGCCGATGGGGACTCGTTGGTCGCAGGTCAGATAACGGGGACCGTCTACTGCAACTTTGCACAGACCACAACCTGTTTCTGGCTAGCACTAACTTTCGGCACAGTCATCGCCGATGTGCCACCTGGCGTCCTCCCTCTGCATCTCAAGCCTGGACTCAGATTGATCACATCGCGATCAGCTACCGCTGGCGTGGTTGTGTACAAGACTGCCGCTCCTTTTGGAGTACCTATCTGGACTCTGACCATGCCTTGGTCTGCGCCAATCTTGCCTTACTTTTCAGTGGACAACGAAGTGACCGCCATCAACGGATTGATGTTAGCAAGCTGGTTGCAACTTCTGTTGCAAGTAAGTATCGAACCGAGCTAGCCTCTAGGCTAGCTACCACTCCACCGAAAAGTATAGATGAGCATTGGTTGCAATTGCATGACGCCATGAAAATGGCGGGAACAGTCAGTTGTGGGTTTGCGAAACGTCCCGCCTTTAAGCACTGGGTTTCTTCTGGTTCCTTACAACTCATTGAAGCCCGTCGGTCTACTCCGGGTGACCGTGAGTTTGACCATAAACGAAGGATGTTACGTAAGGAAATTGGGCAAAGCTTGCGTAAGGACCGAGAAGCCTGGTGGTCGATGCGTGCTAATGAGCTGGAAGCAGCAGCTGCATCTGGTAACTACCGGAAGCTCTTCCAGCTCATCCGAGCCACTGGCAGCAAGAAGTCTGGTGTGAGTGAAACAATCTGCGAGGATGATGGGATGCCAATCACTAACATCCATCGACGTCTTGGACGATGGGCAGAATTTTTCGAAGGGCAGTTCAACTGGCCTGCTGCTCCGGCAACATCGGTCAGACTGTCCTGCCCTCCATGGCCGGTGACGACTGATCCACCAAATGAGGAGGAAGTCCGCAAGGAACTCCAACTCTTGAAGCGTTACAAATCACCTGGCCCAGATGACTTACCTCCGGCTCTTTTTAAAGATGGTGGTGACTTTTTGACTAAGGAATTGACGACGTTGTTTACAAAGGTTTGGGAACTAGAGAGTGTACCAACGTCATGGAATGAGTCGATAGTTGTCCCTATCTTTAAAAAGGGTTCACGTCGTTTCTGTAACAACTATCGGGGGATAAGTCTACTTCCGATTGCGTCCAAGCTATTGGCTTCCGTCATACTTCGTAGGTTGTTCAAAACCCGAGAAAGATTGACTCGCGAGGAGCAGGCTGGGTTTCGTTCTGGTCGAGGATGTATTGATCATATCTTCAC